CTGTAGTGATAATACATTGGAGTTTCACCCTAGTGATATAAAAACACTAGTAAATAACATATTCCACGACTACTGCATAGAACAAATAGCGGCGTTTTCACATAGTATTATGCCACTTCACGTAAAACGGGTGAAACTCCATTACTGTACATCATTTTCGGATAGATATCTTCCAATAGTAAGATTCAAAACAGGTCCAGGAACTCACTCAATGGGAGGTCGGTATTTGGAAATCCAACATCAAACCAGAAGGATACCGCAGCCACATTTCCGTCCTTTTTTAAAGGCATCGACAACTTCGCCTGATGGAAGATCCTCTACGAGTTGCGCGAGGTGTGGTATCACTTACCCCAATTTTATTCAACTCCTCCGATGTAACCGAATGAATATCAACTCCAACGACCAATGCAGGATCACTGAGTATTTCCTCTTGTGATAGCAACTGAACCTGTCAACACACACAAGAAGAAATCTTCCGCGTGCGCAAAAGATATTTTCTCTAAAGCCATTCGAAATACGACAGTTTTTATGACAGACACTTAGTAAAATCGAATACCACACCATCCCGAACTCACGCACGATACTGATTGTAAGGAATGGAGTTTCACGACCCGTTTTACGTGAAGTGGCGTCGTAATACTCTGTGAAAAAACGCAATATTCGCAGTAGTCGTGAAATATACTTTCCACTAGCGTTTCCCATATCACAAGTGAATGTTGCACTCTACCATTACCTGTGGATTAGCCATCGCCTCCAAAGCCAAGGCGTTTCCGAAGGGTGTGAAGTCCAAAGAGTAGTAGTTGTGGTAGTGGTCAAGGTTGTCACTTTTCCAAGTGTCCTCAGATACGACAGCTGCCCACAGACGACAACTATCTGATATATAAAACACATATTTACTATAAAAAGGTATTCCACTGTTCTCTTTCCAGTAACATAACGTCATTGATTAAAGTCTGTACGTTTTTAAAAAGATCATTCTATGAAAACCAGTCGGAAAAAAGTGTTGTGTTCGGCCAGCTGTTCCATATAACGACTAGACATAATGTGGAGCGAAAATACAATACCTCGAGCCGGATGGCTACGGATAACGGACCATTCCATCTGATTACTACAATACGACACCATCGTAGATGATCTCCCAACAATCTTGAAAATGTACATATCCATGCCACATAAAATCTACATGGTTGAATTCGCGCACGCATATGGACAAAAATGTCATTTTTCTTCCAAGAAGTGAGTAAATTATTAAATAATACTAAATGAGAATGCTGTAAATCTAAACACAATCTGTCACTATACATGTCCCCGGTTATGACAGATTCACCCTACTACGTGATAGCACATCACTTTAACTATACCTCAGCAAAGTTTCCGCGCCAGAACCCGAATAGTTGACAAGTAATGTTAATTTCTCGAATTTACCACAATTTCTAAAATGTTAAAATATACCCACTTTCCATATCTATTAACACAACTATGTTTGAATAATAGAGAGATAAAAATACCGCGTTAGTCCATACCACATTTCCTCCACTTCTAGTCCCCATCCCCCCCTTACCAGGTAAGAGTAAGCCATCAGGCTTGAGCCATCTATCCCTAGCATAGAGGACCGAATCCAACATGGCCTCGTGGAAGGCGTAAAAGCCCATCCACTCCGACACTATGGCATCGACTGGTGCTGATAGATCCAACTGAAGATACTTTTCGTGCCCCCGCGACAAGATACAGATTAGGCCCAAATGATGCTCATTACCATTTCAACAGGTCTATTGACCACAGTGACCACGCCCTGTAAGCCATTATGTTGTACCAACGCCTCGGCTATTCGAGCAGTAGATTCTGTCGCTTCTACGGCGATGATCTGAAGGGAATTATTATTATATGCCGCAGCAAATTACCGCGCGCCACAAAATTCGATACAGGAACGGACATGGTCAACACCCCTCTTAGTGAGATTCCTCAGTGTTGGAATATATGTTAGGTATCCTCAGCTGAGCTCAGAAGTTTCCTTGCTACCTTATGCGAATCTAGTTACCATTCAGTACACATAAAAACTAACCATAATTTCTCAAGCTCTCCTCAGAATTTTAATATTTTCACCAACATACGTAATTCACCATGTGCATATTTTCCCCCCCACACGGAAAGTGAGGTTTAGAATTCTAGTTACTCTTACGATAACAAATGATCAAGGTGAAGTGCCGCAATACTACTCTGTGAAAAACGCGATATTCGTGCTATGCAGTAGTTGTGGAATATATCACTAGTGTGAAACTCCATTGATTATAATAAGAAGGATACTCACCTGAGCCGGTTCGCATATCTTAGCGCACAGCATAGATAACACCCCAGTACCACATCCAACGTCCAAGACTACTTTCCCTGAGGAAAACGGACGGAGATGAAATCTCCGCAGTGCGTTGAGTATCTTTCACCTTTTAACCTCTCCTTATTGGCCTCAAAAGCTCTGATATAACCCTCTACTCGGGGCTTGTCCTTGAGCATGAGATCGTGGACTGAAAGGTCATCATAGGAATTGAAGTACCTACGGTAGTCTGGAATCACTACAGCATGCTCATGGTCAGCATTTGGGCCTATTCCGTATCTTTTGAATGGACAACTGTAATAAGATATCTTCATCGTCATCGATATATGCAAGATATAACGTGGACAATAATAATTCATATTATAATGAAAAATAATGGAATTTCATTTGTGATATGAAAAACATATTTCACAGTTCACCTCGCAACCGCGTAGGATGTCGTTCACGAAGATATACTCCGCGAAAAAAAAAGAAATATAATCAAATAATAAGTGCCATAAATTCCGTTGAATTTATCACTTAAATCGTTCTTAAAATCCAATGCAGAAAATGCCCATCCTTGAATACAAGGATAACAATACTGTGCGATAAATTCCGTTGAGTTCATCACTTAAATCGTTTATAAAATCCAATGCGGAAAATGCACATCCTTGAATACAAGAATAACAATACTGTGTGATAAATTCCGTTAAGTTTACCACTAAAATCGTTCTTATAATTCACTTCAAATACACTTATCTACGACTATCCGTACCCATCAGCATAAGCAGCATCATCGTCCTTCTCCGTCGTCCTCCCAGGCACACTAGAGCAATTGCTACTGTCGTTACGCCGACGTTTAACAGACGAGGTCATTGTGTGGGGGGGGAGGCCTTTACTACAACACAGTGAATAAATACGGGAATAGTAAGCGCAACGGCTTTGATGCTGAGGTCGCGGGTTCGAATCCCGGCTACGATATTTTTCTCGAAATTAAATCGATCGATCGTTTTATACACTCCCCGATCGTTGAAAAGGCATCCATGAAGCTGAGTCGGTGAATATCGTGATGCTGTTATATATTCTGTTCATGCAGATGTATGATGAGTTTAAAACAATGTGACAGATGCATGATTTTGAGTAATTACGTGGGACAAGTGCTAAAAGTACGTATAAGAGTATGTAATAAGAATTCGAAAATGTGATTATTATTATTATCAACATCATCATATGCAGGAACCCTGAACTCCAGCAGCTGTGAGAAATAACGCTCCCCAGGGTTTGTTAAGGATGGGGGAAAATGTTACTAATGTGATGATGACATTTACATGGGAAACGGATCGAAGAATGTGTTCCTAGCCATACGTGGGAAATTCAAAATGAGTTTCCTTTCCCGGAACACTAGGTTCGGATCACAAATTTTCCGAAAATGTTTACTTGAACTCAATGGGAATATAGTGTCAGTGTTGTAGTCGAATTTTCTAAAATTCACTTACCCGGAAGTATCACCAATAGCAGTCTCCAGTGTGGGGGAAAATATGCACATCGTCAACTACATATGTCGGCGATACTATGAAAATGTTGAGGAAATTTTAGGAAATTATTATTGGTTTCTGCCTACATTTCTACCCGATTTCGTATCGTGAGGAAATTTCCCAGAGCTCAGCTGAGGAAAGCGAACATATATTCCAGCACTAGTATTTTCTCTTATACCATGACGACTGATCGTCGTGATGCCTCCGACAAGGACTTGGAAATAGCCCGACACGAGTTGAATCAAGCCTTGATAGAAAGTGGCGAGAGAGACCAGTTGAAGCAGTAATGGTTATTCTGTATATGTTTGGTTTTCTCACCTGAGCTCGGGAAAATTTCATAGTATGAAAGTTACTCATGGTTTGGGGAAGGAATTATTGTTGGTGACAATATGGAAAATTTAAGGAAATTTTCGGGAAAAATTTTATTGGTTTCGGTACATTTGTATGCAAATTTGTGATGAAACTCCTGAGCTCAGGTGAGGAAAGCAAATATATATTCCAACACTGGGAGTACTATGCAAAAATCAAGAATGATTTTCTAAAATTTCCGCGGAATTTTTTCCTAATCGTCACCAACACGCGTAGTTGACCATGTGCATATTTTCCAATAATGCTAACAGTTTAACCTTGTACGCACGCTCACTAGTTGAATCCCTCGTGGAGAAAAAGTTGATCGGGAATTTCATTGTGAAGGAGTGAGGGTGTCTGATGTTGGGCATGGTTTGAATCTTATGAAGATGAACCTTAGATACGTAATGGACCAGTTGATGCGTTCTGGATGGCGAGATGAGTTGAAGGAATACTGCGTTGGTATTCCATAGGAATCGACCTAATCTTTATTATCACCAAGTTGACTTTTTTAGATTTTATAAAGTCTCAAGGAGTAGCCTCTATCTCAGTAGATGATATCGTAGCACATGTGGCGCCCAGGGGCAGGCAGCTCGTACCTAGTCATGTTAAAAGTGAAGTAAAATGGAGTTTTACGAATACCCTTTTTACGCGAAGTGGCGTAATACGCTGGGTGAAATATGTTTTTTATATCACTAGGGTGGTGAAACTCCAATATATAGGGTCTAATTGCTGTTGCAGCATCAGCAGCATTTTATCTATAGTTTGATATTAGCAATAATTAGATATTCGTTGTGGAAGATTCATCCGATTTCTTTGGATTTTCTATTACACTTGTGAGTTTCACCCTAGTGATATGAAAAACACTAGTGAAAAATATATTCCACGACTACTGCATATCACCGCGTGGAATATCGCGTTTTTCACAGAGTATTACGACATTTTACGTAAAACGGGACGGGAAATTTCTATAAAATTCAACTGTAAGTACAGTAGGCTATGGTGTGCTGGGCAGGTTCTCGAACGTATAAAGGAGTTCGCAGCGAGGCAGCAAGAGAGGAACAATGTGGCTTAGCATGATGATTGGTGGTATCTTAGGTTGCGTTATAAAAGATACGGAATAGGTCCGATATTTACCATTCCACCAGTTGGTTATAAGTTCTCATCACAATGACAGATCGTCAGAATCGTCCCGGCCAGAAGACTGGCTCAGGAGCTCCTATGACGGCTCAAGAGGCTGCTATGGATAGGAGGGAGAGGCTGAGGAGGCTTGCTATGGAAACGGTAATGAAAGATATGGTTTTGGGTTGTATTATACTCTGTAGTATATATGGTGATATTATCAGAGCATTATACTATTAGATTTTATATTCTCTTCTCCTTTTTCTTCTCGCGGAGCAGCACCCCCTCAACCAGCCGAGTAATAGCTAGTTTGGAGATTTTATATCATGTATATATACCCTATAGTATAGGTACTATTATATTATCATAGATATTGTTCTGTATAGGGTATTTTATACCACCCTTCATACAACAGGTGTAGAGGGCGATCGGTAGAGGGTGAATGCAAGGGCATTTTTAATAGGTTTGTTATTATACTTGTTTCGTGTTGTATTATATACTTTTTGTATTTTTTATTATATATATTTTTTGTATGCTTTTCTTATGAACGACGTTGGGAAAGGGACGAAACTCCTTTATTTTCAAGTCACCATGTAGTAGGTGGATTCGAAATTGTGCTCACCTTGCGGTATGTAAATTCCACGTAGAGATTTTATTGTGAAATGACGTTAATTTTGGTATTGGAGTTTCATCCGTGATATGAAAAACAATAGTGAAAAATATATTTCACATTTTACTTGGCGAAGGAAATATATGTGAGCAGTGAATAACGCGACGAAAACGTGATGTGTTTCGTGTGGTATGGAATCATTTGCGAAGTGCTTTGAATTCACTTCATATCATATCGCGTTTTCCACTGCACGTAAAACGGGTGGTGGTGAATTTCTACTGTTTGATCAGGTTGACTTGTCGAAAGATCCGTATCTTCTACGTAACCATCTAGGCACATATGAATGCAAATTGTGTTTGACATTGCATACTAACGAGGGCAGTTATTTGGCACATACTCAAGGGAAGAAACATCAGGTGGGGAGGGGAGTTTTTTGGATTTTTTTGCGGAAAAATAGTACATTTTTCCGGAAAAAAAGACGATGAATGTGAAGGCATCATATTAGTCATCTTTGAATTCTTTTGATCAGTAGTTTGATGCTAAGCTACAGAGCGTCAAGTGGAGTTAGTTGTACACAGTTGTATAAACGTTTTGAAATTTGGAGTGAAATAATCCGTGAGTGGTGTGAAAAATTCACGCACGATGTTGTGGATACTCCTGTAAAAGTAAAGCCCAGGTTAACCTGGCAAGAAGGGCAGCTAAGGATGCTATGGTTGGAGTTCCAGCACCGATACCGGGGGAGGGCGATGGACCATATGGCGCACAGGGACTTCATAAAAGTAGGGTAGCTGAGGTTCAACTGAGTGATGAGGTTGGTGATATCCTATTTCAGAATCGGTAGCGCCTAGAATAGGTCGGCCGGGATATAGGGTTACGAAGCAGAGGGATCCTATGACGTACCAAAAGAGTCTATTGTTTGAAGTGGATTACCCCGAGATTGATACCAAGGTCACTACAACGCCATTGTAATAGGGGTAGTGGTGGAGGAGTATATGTTGGCTTTGAAAGTTTCTTCACTGTGGGAGTTTATATGCGAATTCGGGTAGAAGTGTACGGGAAACCGGTGAGATTTTTTGTTAATTTTCATGAGAATGATTATACGGTGTGTTCGATGTTGGTAGTCCAAACGGGCAATAGTGCATATCTTTTCGAATACGCATAATTTCACAAACAAACTTCCACAGAATAAGACTAATCGAACACACTGTATTGTCACCAACACATGTAGTTGAGCATATGCATATTTTGCCATTCTAGGTGAGGGCGGTGTTCAGTATGTGTATGTGTTGAAATATACGTTTGGTTTCCTCACCTGAGTTCAGAAATTTCTGTACTTAGTTATGAAAAGTGACTCGCGATTAACGACCAATTTTTGATTTTCCAGAATTTTATTGGATTTTTCTTCATTTTAGCTAAAACATGTAGTTGAACATGTGCCAGTTTTTTCACACTAGCATATGTGGGGTGCTCCCTCACCGTGGAGGTACGATGCAGAGTATATGTGATAATGATGAATAACCATGTATTAGAAATTGATTTACGTGGATAATGTGTGAAGATGTATTTGGTGAAAATCTTCGCTGTGCGTTGATAGATACCGTATCATGTCGTGTTACGAGCAGAGAGTGGAAGAGCCCAATAGAGACTATCAGTAGTGTTGGGGCGTATGAGTGTCAGTGTGGGAATGTATGTTTGGTTTCTTCAGCTGAGCTCGTGAGTTCACACACGAGTTTGAATATAACAAGACTAAGGATTATTTCCCGAAATTTCCTCAGAATTTTCCTATTTTCACCCATATATATAGTTGACCATGTGCATATATTGCCACACTGTTGAGGTTGGCAACGATTATTGTGATATTAACGATTATTATAACGACTGGAAATCAGTTCTATGTTGGGGATTTTTTGTGAATATTTGTGTGAATTTTTCCGCTTTTATGAACAGCGCTTTATTATTATCAATTATCGTGTCAGGGATCTTCTTTAATTTTATTCTACTAATAACTCCACAATAGAATATGGTTCTCGTATTACCTTTAATGAATTTTATGTTTTGGATGTGTGGTATAGTTTTGGGCCTATTCTGTATCTTTATCGCGGCAACCTTGGATGCTCTCTAGGTATCTTTTGATAGCAGCCGAGCCTTATGAGACGATATCATTCAAGATCCCAAATCTTGATATTGACAGGAATCCGGAGAAGCTCTACCAGCGTTGGGATCCTATTACTAAGCACTATATGCTGCAGGTAGGAAGGAGGCGGAATCTCGTGGCGCGCGGTAATTTCCCGGCGAAGCGGTGTTGTTCAGTTGTGCTTCAACGAGAGAGGGGAGAAGCAGTTGCCTGCCTTGGCTGGGAAAGCGGGCCACTTCGATCCTATAGGCGTGAGGGGTTGAGACGTTCGAGGAGATAGTTGGTTTAGACGATAGTTTGAAAAGTTGTGTTGAGTGGGAATTGAACCCGGGTCGTCAATAAGGAGGTGCTGAGGCCTAACGTACTCACCAACTAGTCTTGTTGGAAGATACAGACGTCCTCAGAGTCCCTGAGTTTCCGCAATTATGTTAGCCTTTCTGTCACTTCTGGATACATGCCTTGTGTATTGACACCCTCTCTCTCTTCATAGCAGTTCACAGGTTATAATTGACAAATTCAAACCTCAGGATCTTGCAATAGTATACCTTCCCGATCTGATACTCATATTCAGAGTTTATTTCTGCTATTATAGTGCATGTCGATTTCCAAACCAGTGAGTTTCGAAGAGCTCTTGAGAGTAACTAAGGAGGCGGCCCATGAGAGTTTGCGGTGGAGGGTAGATGAGAGTAGTATTGAGAGAGGCCGAGATGGTCTCGAGATATGGAAGTTTGATGACGATATGAGCGATTGTGAGTGGGTAAATTATTCCGGGGAAAAATTGCGTAAATTTTTTCGGATATTTTCTGAAGAAAAGTGTCGGTGAATCGGTCAATCAAATCACCTGTTCAAGTCTTGGCAGAAGTGAATCGCTCGCTGTTGGGTTTCCAGCAAATCTCAATGAGTTTGATTCGGAATTTCATGGCGCGCGACAAATCTGAGCCCTGTCCAGGTACGAGGTTGCCTCTGGTATTGCTAGGGCCTTCGGACAGACTTGACTTACCCGCTAAATGCAATCAGTCGGGGTCGATTACGACTACTATCCTCGCCTTGGTGGGACCTGGGGGACCCTCGGAGGTGTTGTTTTATGAGGCATCTCAGCTGGAAGGGTTACCGTCCAAATTGCCATCAAATAGTGGTGTTTCGTGAGCTCACTGGTGTTTGAGTTCTTTTATGCAACTATACCGACCGCAATTATTCGGAACAGCCTTGCAGGCAGATAATGGCAGCTCTCTTACTGCGATGGGTGAGCTCAAAAATGTCCAACGGTGTGAGTCAGGGATTTCCTGGGATGCCGATGATGATGACGATGAGGAATCTCGGCATGGCCAATGTCGGGGAGTTCAGAGGAATATCATCTAAGTGCCGAATGTGAGCAGGGTTGGATAATCAATTGGTACTGAGTTTTCCTCGTGGAAGTAGGAGCAAGAATTAATGATAGTCACTATAGAGAAGTAGTGTTCCAGTACGTGGATGAGCAGTTTTTGTAAATAAGGAGTGTGTCCCTTTTTTATGGGGATGAGCCTTCGTAGTGCTTGGTCTTTCTGGGCGTACACACCCGTCAGTCTACGGAGCTTCCCCACTGTTTACAGCGCGAGTTAGCGAGGGATCGTAGTCAGAGTTTCATGAGAAGATGAGATATTACCGTTTTTGTTCTCTGTGATAGCGATAAAGAATAGCTTTAGTCGTGATGGGTGAAGGAGACGTGTGTGCTAGTGTGTTGATGGTGAATTCATTGGGGCGATAAAATTTGGTTATCTCAATTGGGAGAAGTGTGGGAAAATATGTACAGGGTTGACTACATGTGTTGGTGACAATGTGAAAATTGTGCGGAAATTTGTGGGAAGATTGTGTTGGTTTCTGTACACTTCTACCTATTGATTGGTATATAGATTTTTTATAATGAGGGAACTCTCGAGTTCAGCTGAGGGAAGCAAACGTATAATGTTTCACGATTCTTCGGCAGGTACTTGTCGATTAAAAAATATCATTTTATAAAGCGTTGTAAGAAGAACATAGGCGTTTCTAAAATACCACAGTTGCATAGGAAAGCTCGTTCGAAAGCGGTAAGTTGCGGATGTTGGCAGTTCTGAGATTTGGGGGAGTTGCGGTATGTATGTGCAGGAAAAGAAAAGACCAATTCAGAAGGAGCATCGGGCCACGCCGAAGATTATGGTATTCCGTAGGGAAAGGTGAACAGCATTTGATCATGTTTGATTATGTGGATTTGTTTCCGTATCGGTGTGGTATCGAGTTGCCGTCATGGTTTTGGAAGCAGTAGCAACTATTGGGAGAATGTCAGAATGGTGATTTTTTCCACTCCGAGACGGTTTTTTTGGAGATTTTTGTTTTGGTGCAAGTGTTGTCTATGAACAGCAACTGTTCGTGTTGGTTGTAAATTGAAGTGGAACTCATCAAATGGAATGCTATCCGTTGTAGTAGAATACCTGCCTCATGCTGCACTTCATTCCTCTGATATCTCTGTTCATCGTTGCTATACCGTGCCTATCACAATGGCAAGGCCAAGGAAGCTCATCAGGGGTAACCACATACCGTTCAAGATAATCTCACTCTTACACCATCAATAGCACTCTTAACAACAGCAGCAGTGTTGGAGGAATATATGTTTGCTTTCCTCACCTGAGGTCATATGAATTTTTTATTCATTTTTTATTCATAGTCATTCATATAATATGAATATGATGTTAGTCCAATGATTATAGCCTATAATAGAATTATAATGGAGTTTCACCACCCTAGTGATATGAAAACTCTGGTGAAAAAAATACTCCACGACTACTGCATATCACCGCGAATATCGGGTTTTTTCACAGAGTATTACGACGTCACTTCACGTAAAACTACAATGAAATAGTATCGGAATATGCTAATGAGTTTTCTTGCTAGTCAATAGAGTATGTATACGAATTTGGGTAGAAGTGTCCTAAAACCAAGAAGAATTTCCCACAATTTGTTGCAAAAAATTCCACTTTTGTCACCGACACATGTAGTTGACCATGTGCACATTTTCCCTCCACATTGATTTTCGTTAGGTGAGACCAGCTGGAAAGTCTTCAACAGAGCTCAGTGGTATCTCAACTGACCCCCCACCGGAAGATGCTGCCTTTGCTGATCTCGATAAGATCGATTGGGGCCTGCCCATGCTGGAAAGACTCGGCGGTTGGGTCCATTCTGGGATCAAATACCTTCGTCCCAAGGTTAGATGTGGTCTGTGATGGACATCTATAGACGGTATCGGAATATATGATCATTTTACTCAGCTCAGCTCAACAGTTTTCTACACACGAATTGAGGTAGAGTGTACAGAAACCAGACAGAATTTCCAAAAACTTCCTCAGAATTTTCACATTTTATCTGCTGTCAGTGACGGAAATCTTTAGACAGTGTTGTTATATATGATCGCTTTCTTCAGCTGAGCTCAAAAGTTTTACTGATAATTACAAGAGTTTGCACACGAATTGAGGTAGAAGTGTACAGAAACCTTCAAGAATTTTCCCGAATTCCCTCAGAATTTTCATCAGCACATGTAGTTGACCATGTTCATATTTTCCCATACTAGATGGACCTCCGACCGAGTGGCGTGTTCGCCGTCTTCGAACGTGGAATTCGCATGGGCGAGGTTCTCATGAGAATACCCGAAGAAGCGACTGTGAGCACTGTTGACGATTTTCTACAGGAAAAAGTGGAAGTCGAATTTGATCAGATTTCACCAAAAATGCTGGAGGTCTCCTCCTGGTCGCATGCCGATCAAGTTCGGATATCCAAACTCGCTCCAGAGGCAAAAATCGCACTTTTTTTGTTACGTGAGGGAAAACTAGGTGCCGAAAGTCGTTGGAATATACTACTTTCTAAGGTGAGTGTGATCATGGAAATTTGAGCAACTTTCGTAGTAGGTGTTTACAACAACTCCTGCGGTCCCCCCAACAGTGCGGGAATGGTCGGATCTAAACAAACGGGTGAAGAATCTCTACAAAACCGTCAAGGCGCTGGCTTCGCTTAGCAATGTCAGTAGTGTCAATTCTACTGTGCAGTGTGGAGGGAACGAACTCCCTAATATGCACATGTGTTGGTGAGAATGGAAATTTTGGAGAATCCTTGTTAACTTTTGAACGATTTAACCCGAATTCGTATATAAACTCCTATAATTAGTGACGGGACTTCTGGGGTCAGCAGCTGAGGAAAACAAATAAGTTTTCTAACACTCTTACTGTATGCTGTGCAGAGTTCGTGGTCCGACTCGTATGTGGCATTGCATTTTGCGAAGTCTAGGACGATTTCTCTACCCAAAGGCTGTTCCCTGCAATCTGAAAGGTGAGTTGAACCACCCTTCTTATCGAGAGTTTTTTGGACTTTTTGTAAAATGACTCTGCTGGGATTCGAACCGGTGCCCGCTATTTTGTAGAGTGAAGGAGCGCGGGAATTCGAGAAGTGATCTTAGTGTCTAGGAATAGTGAAAAAGATATGTTGGTGGAATCGGACGGCGTTATATGACAAACGCATTGATAGCCGATAGATCAAACTATAACTAGGACTGATACTGCGGCGTCACTCGGCTCAAGGGCGAGTCTTCTCAGTGCTAACTCAGGAGTGTCGTCGTTGTCTACGGAGTTAACCATTAGGAAATGATTGTGATACTAATTATAATAGAGCTACTATCACCATCATAAACCGTTTAATAACCCACAGCAGGGGCACGTGTACTTAGCGTTGGGCGCTTAACCTATGCGTGCCGCCAGCGGAGCGATCGATGTCATGTTTGTCGAAAAAGACACTGTCTGCAATGGAGGGGCCCTTCCCTTTGGTGCAGCCCAAATCGCAGTACTGCCTCAATACGATGACAATGAACTTATCGTAGTCAAGTACATAGCTTCTCGGAAGCGCTCATCCTATGGGAGCGCTCATCCCTCATTCGACAAGTATACATGAAAATGCTCAAAAGATGATCGGAAACACAAATTCTTGATACGATACGCTCCATCTGAGGAACATTATAAATTGCAGTAGTAGTTAGACCTCGTTCTCATTGGAGTTTCACCCTAGTGATATGAGAAACACTAGTGGAAAGTATATCTCGCGACTATCAAAAATCATCGCCAATAACGAATAATCGAATAATGATCAATCGCGAATCGTGAATGATTTATCGCGACTATCGCGTTTCTCACCGAGTTTCACGCCACTTCGCGTAAAACGGGTGAAACTCCGTTGAATCAATTCTGGAATTCAGAATCGATTTTAGAATCGTATTATACGTGTAAAAAGCGATACCGAGTTTCGAATTATTGGATTATTGGCCGACTTTTGAGTCCTTGCAAACTGCCTGTATTCACGCATCGAATCATCTCAGCTCGTATACGTGGTGAGGTTTCAGACAACACCTTGTGCTTGGCTTGGACCTCCTCAACCACGTATCGAACTGGTCAGCAGTGAATGCCCGAGTGGGCTACTCTAGATCACGATTGGTATATCTACTCTGTAGTCCTGATGATCTTCGTAGTGTGGTCCGCTTCAGAACTGCTACCCTCTGCTAGTGGAAGCTACTACTAACATCACACAGGGTTACGAAGTCGTTGTGAGCTACTCGGCTTTGGTCAATAGCATATCGCCCAAGGTAACGCAATGGTGGAGGTTTGGGATAAACTCGTATTGTTATAATTATGAGGAGTTTAAATGATAATAAATACCAGTAATTAGAATATTAACGATGCTCTCATCCAGTGTGGAGGAAAATATGCACATGTGTCGGTGACAATATGAAGAATTTGAGGAAATTGCGGGAAGATTTTCGTGGTTTTCAACCCCTACTATTCTTATTTGTATATATACTCGTAAAATGAGTGAGAAAACTCCAAGGCTCAGCTGGAAAGAGCAAACATATAACTAAACACTGCCATTATCACTATCGAATTGGTGTTATAATCAATGATAACACAAAGCATATATTATATCGTATTTTATATAGTACTAGGTATTAGAACAAAATTGTATGCACTCATTCCCTGCTCCTCGTTCGAGTCTTGTGATATTCCCTCCCACCCACGAGTGATATTGTTGAAGAAATACTATACTAACCAACGAGTATAATTGAAGTGCTCAGTAGTCTGGTCATGCAGGGCGCGCGCTTTTCATAAACTGCGCGCGTTTTTAGATTTGATATATATACAAGTCCAGCGAGGAAAAGACTTTAATTAGACTTGATGATTGTATGAGGGTATGTCATTGATTGAGCTAGCCTGAGGCTGTCATAACCTCAGCCCTGGAACTTCATCAGGACTACGCAGGTTATGACAGTCTGAACCCGCCGCTATAACTCTATACCACCCTGGGGTTGCTGCACAAGAAGAAGGGAAATTAAGCTGGGCTATTTAAAACATCTCATCGTCACAGGCAGATGCTCCCAGTGTGGGAAAAATATGCATATTATCGACTACGTGTGTTGATGTATTATTGTTGGTTTCTGTACACTTCTACCTGAATTCGTATGAATAAAAGAATCTTGCAGAATTTCCGGAAATTTCCGCAGAATGTTCATATCGTCATCAAGATATGTAGTTGGGCATATGCACATCTTCTAACGCTGGTTGCTACTGGTGACGGGAGAAAGCATTGCTCCTGTTGCCAGGTGAAGCCATGTGAATGGTGGCTCGTTAAGTACAATTTCGTCCCTGAGATCCTCCCAAGTGGCCCGCTAGTGGTGACACAGCTGCCTGGTGTCACCCACCCTCGCTATACGGCTGAGAGCGAGCTGGGAGAAGGCGATGCTAGAGGCATCGGAAGGAGCCCGGAATGGATACGGCTCATTCAGAAGAGGTCGGTCGGTCCGGAATTGGGAATAAATAACCCATAATAACCGCACGATTATACCCAGCATGTGCCCCCGTAGAGAACACCATTTGACGTGTTAAATGGTCATTCTATATATTCACCCCTGTTTTTGCATTTTAAACACATAAATGTCTCTAGGGGTTATCCTTGGCTCGAGAAAAGGTCTTCTGTAGGCGTCGTTATGTATTTACTATTATAACACTATTACGACCACGCATATTATACCGCAAATGCCAAGGGTGGATTCCGTCAGATGGAAATCGAAGTGTCTGAGAAGTTACCACCACTTTGACGGCTTGAATCTGCCAACGACTTTCCTAAACTGCGCTAGGATGGAAAGGTTGATAGTTGCTCATCTCGACTACATACACAATGATGGTAGTTTGTGTAGTTCTTGCAACACGCATGTGCATGCGTGCAGTTCCGTCGGGTCCGACTCGTCTAGTGGTGGATGCCCACAGTGATTGGCAGGAGGGAGACCTGTTGGAGTGGGAGAGGATGGAGAGACCGATGATCACAGAGCTATCCCAGGCTGCTACTCATCTTCTAAGTGTGGCGATGACTGGGCTGGATAGTGTTGGAATAGATGCTCGCTTCCCTCGACTGAGTTTAAGGTTTTTCTCATTAATTATAGAAGTCTATTCACGACTTGGGGTAGAAGTCTAGAGAAACCAACAAGAATTTCCGGGACTTTCCTCAGAGGCATCAACGCATATAGTTGACCATGTACATATTTCCCCACACTGGGGTTGGAGTCGCGATGCATCGAGGAAATGCACTCCTGCCGGATGATGATGATGTCTCGCGAAACTCATTTCTGATATTACTAGAGCACCTTGGCTTTTGCCTTCACCCTGGTGACTCTCAGGATCTCTCGTTGCTGACGCATCGTTCGAATCCTGCTGGAACTGATGTAACACTTTAACCAAACGAGCCGATTGGGACTAATAAGTTGTTATTATTAACTAGCCATTCAAGCTCGTCAGTAGTTATTATTAGTAGCTAATCAAGTGGTGCAAGGGCATGCGTGAAAGCGATCAACGCAACCACAGATCATCACATTAATTAACTACCGCTAGCTTTTTAACACAATCCATATCAAATGTATAGAAATTGTCGAGGGAGATCCACGGCGTCTTGCTTAGTATCGCTGACTCAGATTGCACTGTGTAGAGGGAAATGCTCTCTACATCCTTTCAGAGATATCTGGAAGGGTTTTGAATCGAGTGGAGGCTGGTAATATGACAAGAACTGACCTAGTCGATCAGTCCCTGTTTACTATGGGGTTGCAAAGATGTGCGCAGTATAACAAAGAGAATGTCGAGAAGCTGGCGAGAGTGATGCCTTGTCGTGGGAGGATCCATGATGACGAGGGTGTAGGTTCTCGTTGGCTTGTCGATGCTGAATGAGACGGCGTATGCGGAGGAGATCAAATCGGCTGGTGAGAACAGCATGGAGTGGTGGAAGGCGGCAGAGCAGTCGGTGGCGATGAGAGCTCTTAGTGACGACGAAATTGAGGAGCGCATGACCCATGATGAGCTTTAAGACGACTTCCTACCCCGAATGAGTTGGCCCAAGTCGCATTCGTGTCTCGCTATTGCCGACGCGGTCACAAGTAGCCGAACCGAAGCGTGGATAGTTAGATGAGCAGACTTACTTCCCTAATTGTTATCTCATCCCTGCGTACAACATGGGCTCGCGCGACGCTCTTAGCCGTGAATCGACCGCATACTACTTCGACTCGGTACTGTTTTCGTTTGGACGGTATTTTACAGAGTTTCTCCTAAGCTAGGTCATTGAAAAAATAGAAAGGAAAGTGAACAACGTAGATGCTCTTTATGCCATATTTGCCCATGAAGACGAGCGAATACAATCTTGCATCACTGGGTAGGCGGAGCGACGCTCGGTTGGTCAGAGATCTTCCATTGAGGGAAGATACTTGAGCAAATGCGAGCTCTTCGTACTTGGCGCGACATGTACCGAGCTGTATAAGAAGATCATATTGTCTCGGCTGGAGAGAAGTGTCAGAGCAGTTGGTAACTGGGGAGGTCGTCTTTCCCTTCATCCGGACACGCGGTTTGTTCAGAGAGCTCCTCAATGACAGAACCCTCCAAATTTTTAAGTTCTATTGAGTCGGACCTTCCCGTTGGCGAGGATGAACTCCGCTCCGCTCATACTTTCTATCGTAGAAAAGGTTTGTCCCGACTGTTGGACTACATACGCATCGTTGATCGCATAAGGGACCCTCTTCCAGTGGAGTTGATCACGACTGTACACCACCCTTTAGAGCGGCCAGCAATATCTGTCCTGTAGGTACAACGGTTCATATTTGGGGACGCCGATCAGTCAGAAGGAGAGTTCTTCAAAGCCCTGACTACGTGAGAGTGGGATCTGTCGTGGATGGGGCCTTCCGTCTCGCAGGTATCTCAATCGTCGCCATCGATTGTTGTCTTCATTCCGGGTGATTTGTCTAAGGTCAAGGTGGTTAGCCTAAGACCCATATCCTCCATAGGGATACCCGAGCGATCGTTGCCATTGGACCTCGAATACAGCTGAGTTGTTACTGCCACCCAAACCTCGAGGAGTACATGCTCCTACTGCGAGAGTATAAAACTTTCCCCGGCAGGTTTATCAGATGCTTATAAACAGAGCCCTATTTGAGCGGTTTGACACCGATGCTGACGGTATTCTATCTGTAGCCGAGCTCGCCAAGCTGGTATGGTCCAGCCATTCGTGTGCTACCGAATGGGCCGATCATGAGGGTATCAGGTTGAGTCTGAGCTGAATGTGGATGTCGCACGAAGCTCTGCTGTTGCGCAAGCTATTGTTCCGAAGTGGGTACAAAATTGCGGCCTGCGAGGATCGAACTCGCGACCTTAGGATTATGAGACCTACGCGCTACCTACTGCGCCAAAGCCGCTTGTTGTTTTAGTTTGTGGATGTCGACGAATAGCGACATTATGTATTCTGCGTTCAGATTCAGCTCCTTCGAGCCACCTTCTTCTGCGCTTTCAACAGGAATGAGATGGCCGGCATTCCACTCGTGGTGGAGTGCTATTCGAGGCAAGGGACAGGGTTTATTTTACAGAGCGCCGAAACCTACAGGAGAGGTGGGGCTTAAGCTCCCCTTATGTCGTTTAGTTCGAGCTCTCACACTGAGAGTGGCATTCTTTCAGATTCTATCTCGTACGGAAACAAGGGAACTGTCGGACAGCAGTCAGCCGATTAATTCCTTCAGCTCTTCATATTCAAGCGGAAATAATTTTGACGGTATCACCTCCGATGTGTCTACGGAACGAGTAGACCGGGAGACGAGCAGCGAACGCTCCTCCGGTCCTCTAGAGATCATCAGTGAGGAAGCGTCTGAGAGCTTCTCACCTGAAGTCACGTGGGACACTAGTTCATCCCATAGCTCATCCGAAAGCAGTAGGAGCTCTCCGATGTCAGCAACGAGTCAGCCCCCGACGGCTGCGTCGTCTGATGAGTCCTCGGAGACTTCGATGGACACTCCTTTAGTTGATGATGTGTCAGAGCTCAGCTCCACTACGCAAAGCCGATCGGACTTGGATTTCAGCAGTGATGATGAAAACGACCAAAGCCAGTTGTCCAGCCTTCAAGCATCCTCATCGAGTGGTGCATCGGCGGAGGATGGATCTGAGGCGAGCGAGAATTCTATCGTCACGACGGCTCGGAGTTCATCAAGTACTAACAGCTCTATTCTCTTGTCTGATAGTGTAGACATGAGCGCTAGCAACGGTACATCAGATTCCAATGTCTCATGATCGATCCTAGGGAGAGTTGAGTGGAGTGTGGTATTCCGAACTCAGTATTTTCTATCCGATTTCTGAGATGCCTTTCCGTCGGCCACAACTGCTGAGTGACTCCCAGTACCACGACTGCTTCTCGGATGCGTCCTCGGACAAACCTGTCGATGACCAGCAGGCCGACCCTCCGTGCAGCCGTCCCAGCGCACCGTCAAGAATTCTACCAGGTTACGAGCTGGGTATGAGCATGCAGAGCGGCGAGGCTAGTCGCATTAGTCGTGGCAGGAGCCCTGACAATACACGGGGGATATCTCAATTGAAGTGTATAGGGTCTCAGGAGGAGTCCAGCCTCCTAATCGATGTCAGTACGAGGGTATCACATTCGAACAACGTGGAGAACGATGCTACAGCCAACGTGGCGGACCCGATAGAGAGAGTGGAGCCGCGACCGATCAGTCCAAATGTGTTGGTGGAATCGAGCCAAATTGTTGACGGATCTTACCCTAGTTATGTCTACACCCCCGCTGACCTCTCTATCTCCACTCCCTTACTGATGGGCCAGGCTGCAGAAGGTAGCAGCGTACTGGGTCCGAGCTTTTCTCTCAATCGCTCTAGAGAGAGCCTTATACCCGGGTATAGAAGAAGTGCTTGCTTCTCACAGCTAGATAGTTTACTCGAGGACGGTCCCGGAGCTGCTACCAGCGAGGTTTTGGCAACATCACAAGTACGCAATCCGCAAGGGCCCGACTCAGTTGAAGTGCCGGGGGTCACTGATGATCCAGAGCCCGAGAGTGCCCTTCATGAGGCAATGGTAGATCTGACCGCTGACGAGGCCCCTTTGGTTCAAACCAACAGAAGGGCTCCAACTTTAGTGAAAACTGAAAGTCCAAAGGCTCCGGATGAGCAGCCATCGACGGCAGATATGTCGGCTTGTTCAGACGCCCTGCGTGGCCTACCCATCAGTGCAGCGTTCGAGAAGTCACTGGCCTTGGCTACAGACTTGGGATTACTCGAAGACTCGGCGGTCCCTAAGGCCGATGCTTATCCTTCCCTCTCCCCACCCAAATGCAGGGAGACCTTGGATGAAGTGGAGATGACGGCTGTTCAAGCTGATGAGAATGACAGCGATAGGGGGACGCCGAGTAAGGACGGTGAGGAGGAGGAGTATGCATCGACGTCAGAGGATGGGGAGATCGCCGACCAGCAGGAGGAGGAGACGGCATTCAGTGCAGTGGGGGTCGCAGAATGGGGAAGTGAGGGATACACTGGAAGTGACGATGATGATGACTCGGAACCTGGGGAGGAGCCCACTCCTGAGAGATCGGCAGCTTTGGAAGCGACGGCGATGCAAGATGATGATGAGGAGGAGGAAGAGTCTGCGAGAGAGGAGTTCCCGAGTCACAATGGGGACTCGGAGGGAGTCCCGGTGTTGGCAGAAGGAGTCCTAGAGAGATCATCATCGGAGACCTTCAATGATGGCCGCAGTAGCGAGGGAGATACACAGAGTGGAGAAGAATGTGAATCAACTCGCGAAAGGGATGTCCGTGAGGATGGCCATTCCGTTAGCTATGAGAGCTGCCCCAGTGTGAGGCGAGCAACGGTTCAGACGGAGGAGTTCCGGAGTCCGTCCTCGGGACTTGAGATGGTAACAGGATCTTCGGATAGTCCCTCAATAGACGAGGATGGTCCGGGTACCAGCCAGAAGCAGTCGAGAAAACGACAGCGTTCGACCAGGAACGAGAGCTTTGAGGAGGAGGAGGAAGAGGAGGAGGAGCGATCGGCTATAGCAGAAAGCTCGCCGTTGGGATTCCCTGAGAGGTTTAGTCCTGATCTGATGGAGAAGGTGTTCAGATTTTTGAAGCTCAAACCACCACTACACAAGGTGGATTTGCGATCGCAGAATCACTTTGATGAAAAGCACGCTTTGTATGATAGTCGGGACGGTCCTCAGCCCGCTGCAGGTGTCGATCGGGGGAGGACGACGGAGCGCCGCCGCCACCGCCGCCGTCGACGTGATCATGGGAAGGGGGCGGCTGATCCGTACGCTGCTGCTAGGCAGCGATTGCAAGAATAATAGCATAAAATGAGATTTTGATCTATTGCATTATACCGTAACACATTTCTCCGCAGTCCGGGAGGTGTTTGTTCAAGTAGTAGAGTGAGATTCGGGCATTGATGATAGCAAGGTGATGGTTCAGATGATCATAAGAATGGATTGTGAGCTGAGTAGGAGCTCAGCCTGTATCTGTTCGGAAAAGTAACGAGCGCGAATTGTTCTACGAATTAGGAGCAGGTATAACAAAAACAAGTGCCCTTATTGAAAAAAGGATTCGGCCAAGGAAAAACAGAATTGATGATAACATATGTCGCAGCATTCGATCCTTTGAATAAGGATAATCCTTATTTATGTATTTAATCCGAAATACATATCGATGATTATAATACCGTGAAAGAAAATGGATTGGAAATGGAAATACAACCTGATGAATTGAACCCTCTGCAGCGCTATTTCGAACTTTCCGACTCGGAAAGGATAATTCACGGAATCCCTGGAACCAACTGATTCTAGTAAGACTGTGAATAATCCATTGATCCGGTCAACACATTCAGCTTCGCGCAATTCGATCCCGACGACGCTGTACAATTACCTTGAGCTAGGGGCTTATAAAAACTCCAACAAGAACAAGAATTATAATATACGTGCGACGCGGTTTCACGATCCAAGACATCGATGCTCGATGCATCGTTACACGATGCAAGCGGCTACCTGCGATTCACTTTCATGCAACCCGACGCCGATTCCCCTGCTATTGACCAAAATACACAGAGTGATGGTGACGGGAAGGACCACAGATCAGGATCCAGCACGAGAACCTTCGAAGTACGCGAGATACTCGAACATCCTTGTTGCGTGCCCTCAGCATTGGATTCAACATGTCACGACAGCGATTATATCAGGGCTTGACATCCGTGATACTACGGCGGTGGAGGAGTCTATCATACCGTTCATAGCTCGCTCGTGTAACTTCTAGAGTTGGCCTCGGATGGGTTCGGAATTATCGAGTGACGCTGCACTCGTAGTGTTCAACTCTACCTAATGCTTGTTTGGCATTTCTAAAGGAGCGTTGCCCGTGTTGTGAGAAGTGAGTCAATTAAATGGTCCTTATTAACGAGCAATACATGATACAACGATCACGTTCTCCTGCTCTGAGGCCGCGGCCGTAAACTTCGTCTCTTAAGTCCTACTTCTTCGTGGCCTTCGTCCCCGGCGAGTCTCGAGAGCGGCTCGGGTCTTCCAATTACTGATGCTGTTTCTTTTAATTTTTTAACAAGTGACTCACTTGCTTTGCGAATGATACACTCTCGAGCCAGTAACCGCAGCACATGTATTCGCGGAGAATAATTGAGTCTATCGGAGAGTGGAAGTCGTGATGAACGAGCTTACGACTAATGATAGTAATCTGAGAAGTATAATCATTACGAGGATTCGTTGGGACCACTGCACCGTGACCGTGATTACCTCGAGCACCTCGCTACACTGCATTGAATAGAGTGCTATCGGTGGTATCGTATCGTCATCCTGTTGCGTTACGATAGTCAAGTTTCTGCCGTAGACAATATTCAGCGGCAGATTGGGTACTCACAGGAATCGGTGAGTATCCGTGGACTGAGACTCCCAGCCTGGGAGAGAAACGTCGCCAAGCCGTGGGCCTTCCCAGAAGTCACTCCCGACACACCGTGAGGTGAACATCCTGTTGTCAGATCCAGCCTCCTCAATCTCCTCCTCACAGAGAGTCTACATCCGGCCCAGAGTCTAGGGTGCACTGCTGATAACCGGAGTTTCGGGCGAGCGCTAAAAGCGGCAGCGCGGTATGATTCTCGCTCGCCCAAAAATCGTCTCAGCCGTTACACATTGTCATTTAATAATCGTGAGAAATCCGGCAGCTTTGTGGAAGCTACTCTGCAGCTCGTGAACTTGGGGAGCGTGTTCAAGTTGTGGCCATCTATTCTCGTTACTATTACTGCTCAGGTAGATGCGTCTTTGCCAATAGCGTATGACCGTCAATGCATTCATTCCCACCGTCTTCATTCTGATGATCACCAGCCGTTTCGGTGCTGCCGTGGGTAGGTTCTCTAAACAGGTTTTCCAGCATCCATATTGATCGATGCTTCAGATATCAACTATGACATCTATTGTAACGGTAGAGGGCATATAAACACAACGGCACAATACGAGGCGCGGGCGGTTACGGAGCTCGTCATGAATATGTGTATCTGTGATCCAGGTTGGAGCTCACTCACCTTCCTCAACTACAGTGCAAGGTAAACAAACCTGGGAGTATTCCTTCTCATCGGTGTGTATGCTCAGTTACTGCGTGGTGTGGACCAAGCGCGTATATGCCTCTAAGTTCGATGACATCTACAGTCGGGATCTGTTTCGTACGGTTGGTTTGTGATCTATTTTCTCCTTCAGACTGTGTGCCGTATACTTCGGTGGAGTCGGAGCCCTTCTTCCCTCCTGGAGATTGGGTGTAAGATTATGACAGAGGCGTCGGCTACATTTGGTGTGTTGTTTTAGTTGCTTTGACAAGCACCCTAAGTATGACTTACTGCCTCCTCACGGACCGAGCTTAACATGTACATACAGTACTCGACCAGGATATTTGATGTTTTGACTCAGATCAGTTTAAACCGCCTTCGTGGTGTTCGACCAGATTCTCGATCAGATCACAGAATTGTCACTGCGGCAGGGCTGATAGTCGTCCGTAGGTCTCCACACGAGTAACCGAAGTGGGATGATCATTATTTAGGCTTGCGGAGATCTGTCGTGAGGATGGAAGAGTTAACATCTACCCGATATTCGCTGAGAACGCTCCTCCAACAGCGGCTCTCCCGGGGTCGCAGCAATCCAAAAGTAGGATTGTTTAGTACAACTTTGCGAAAATATACCGTATCAGGTTTAAAGTATGAGCCCTATTGTAATGGTAGAGGACGAGTTAACAGAACAGCCCAGGATGTTGAGACGAACGTCGATTATATGGTGGCGAATTTGTGTACATGCGATCCTGGGTGGAGCTCTATGCTGTTCAGTAACTTCTCTGTTCGGTGAGTCTTTCGGATGCATTGAATTGGTCATACCTTTCATGTCCAGGTACTGCTCGGTGTGGACTAAGCCCACGTATGAAGCACGCCTGGAGTCGGTCTACGGTGGGTTTCTTGTTCAACTCGCGGGCGAGATGTTCACTCGTTGTTATCAGATTGGGTACCGGTATCGTCTGTTGAACACGAGTCCTACTTTCAAACTGGCTACTGGTTGTAGGTCTGCCCTCATTGATTGCGTTCAACGACTAACTCTTTTAGGTGTTACGACAAACACCCGAGGTACACGCTCCGACAACCTCACGGCCCTGAGCTCTTATGTGAGTCTGGCTTCCGTTACTCCGCATTGATTCGGTGTTTGGGCTCAGTTCTCTACAAAAGTCCCTCGTGGTGCCGTGGCCGGTGGCGGACGAGGACCCAAAGTTGCGACTGCAGTGGAAAAGAGAAAGGAGGGTTAAGTCGCTTTTGAATAACCCCTCTGGTCGATAGGCTCATCGCAGGTTCCCCGAGATATGTCTGGAAAGTGATCGAGATCATATCGTACCGACATATACCGTGAATGAGGTGCCACAGCCACCATGTAAGTTGATCACATCACTGAGGCGAGCTCGAATTGTCCCGATAGCTACGGTCTACGAGCCATACTGTAACGGTAGAGGTGTGTTCAACGAGACGGCACAGCTGTATGAGAACGCCAACGACATGGTGCTCAACTTGTGCACCTGCGATTCTGGATGGACCTCCTTGTTGTTCAAGAACCTGACCATTAGGTGAGCCACTCCTAGGACGGGTCGTCGGGAGGTATTTGATGCCTGCAGTTACTGTGTCGTGTGGAAGGACGTGATTTACGACTCGCGCTTTGATGATGTCTACGGTAAGGCGTCGGATGAAGAAATGTTTACAAGAGTTTCATGTTGCTTTCATCTCAGATTGCGTGCCAACGTCGACTATCGCTTATGATAAATTTTTTCCGGCTGGTCGATGGGCGTAAGTGGGAGGATTTCTGTTGAATGATTCATGTAGTTTGCAGGTGTTATGACAAGTACCCGAAGTATACTTTGGCGGCACCACAGGGACCACAACTTCTCTGTATGTGTCGCGGGACGAGGGTATGCTAGTTTTGACGTTCACTTTTAGTTCATTTCCTACCTCCGAAGTGGTGTAAAGGTAGATGGCGGGTCAGAACGCAGATCTGCAATTGTGATAAGACTATGGATAAACCGTGGGTTAGGAGTGGGACTGTGATTGTTATAGACTCGCGTATCTCTTCAGGCTCCCCGAAGTCTGTCAGGCTGATGAACGTGAGATGATCAGTCCAGTATTCGTCGCGCACGCGCGGCCTGAATCTGCTATCTCCACCAGTGCTCCACCTTCGCTGGGGTTCGGTAGGCTAAGGCGCTGATTTGGCAGCAGTTATACCCTCCGTGGCAGATACGAACTTCGACTTATACTGCAATGGTCGTGGGCACATAGATGAGACTACTCTGCTGAAGGAGTCAGATTCTGAGACTATGATACAAAACTTGTGTGTCTGCGACGAGGGATGGACTTCGATGTTCTTTAGAAATTACAGTGCAAGGTGGGTCGTCAGCCGTCTATGTAGTGACATGGTCATGATAGTTACTGCACTGTGTGGAAGGAAGCAGAGTACGATACGAAGTTCAATGAGATTTATAGTGAGTGCCTTGCCGTTGCCCTTCTTAATGGGGTTTTCAGATTGTGTGCCTAGTTCCACCATCCCTATGGAGTTGATGTTCCCAGCTGGAGAGTGGGTGTGAGTATATTGTTGGGGTGTTGTGGGAGTGGGAGTTCACACTACTCTTAGGTGTCCGGATAAGTACCCGAAGTATGAACTACTGAAGCCGCACGGGCCTGTGTCTTTATGTGAGTGGAAGTAAACGTCATTGTTGGAGTGTCGTGATTTTAGTCTACTTCGCTCCGCCAGCCTGGTGTACGACGAGATGGATGCCGCGGGCGCAGGCATGCCGATGTGGAGACGACCAAAATGAAGGGTGAGTTCGGCCCGAGTTGCAAAAGTGTAATTCAATTACTTAGACTTACCGACGCCTGTAGTGCGACGAGTGAGGACTACATATCACCAGTGTTCGTCAAGAGGCCTCCGCCCCCGGTAATTACGACTAAGCTCACAACTACATCAACCACCACTACGACTACTACCACGACGGTTACCACTAGAACGACTACGACTACTTTGAAGAGTACTGTTGCCGTGGTGATATCGCCGGAAGTCAGCGGAACTACCGTGGTAAGACTTGGGGTGGCGACCTCTACTGCGACTACGCTCATTGTGAGTACGGTTGCCGACACTAGTAGTCCCATGCCCACTTTTACGCCGACAACTTTCACTGTCACGACCCCAACAACTGTCCGTTTTACGACGGAAACTGCTACCACTGTTAGCGAACATAGTACGTCCAATGCGGCGTACTCAGCGACCAGTCGCAGTGTCTCTGAGACTGTTACGCTCGCTGCATCGGTGTCGAGTGCGTACTCGTCTCGATCGACTACCGGTGGCGCTAGGATGGGGAACACGTCTGTCGGTCTAATGAGCTCGACTGTCGGTAGCGTTCTCAACGAGTCCACAATGCGTCAGGTGGGATCTACGAGTACCCCTTCCCGAAGTGCTGGTGATGAAGTCGACGCTCAAGGCAGTACACCTTCACCCTTGAGTAAGTAGCTCTGAGTATATATCTCATCACACATCCGTACAGATTCTTCGGAGTGTGGAGAGCACGGCAGTTGGTCGACTGAAACGGGAGAGTGCGTGTGTGACGATGGTTGGGGGCCTGACCCGTCTGAAGAGGGGACATCAGAGTGAGTTGATTCTTGCGTCAGCTTTGACAATACTCTGCTTCAGGCCGTGTGGTCATCTTGGCTTTGCGGGTGATGGTGGAAATGTGAGTAAATGATCTAATGTTGTTGTAGTCGTGAAAGGCGTTTCTCCTTGGCAGAGAGATGCAGCTCCAGCGTCGAATGGCGACAACTCTGGAGGCGGATCGTGGATAGTCGTGGCCCTCCTGGCCGTGTTTGTGTTAGTGGTGGGGATTATACTCATGTAGGTGGAGGAGTTGCATTAGTTAACGCGGATTGCAGAGCTTCTGTTCAGGGTACGACTTTGCCGGTCTCGCTGTGTCAAAGGGCGAAACGACAGACTGATGTGGTTGTGGGAAGTGAAAAAGGCAATCAAGAAGAGACTACCCCGTACTCGCCCCCCGCGTGGGTTTTCCGATAGACCGACGGAGTCACCGGAGCTGAGAGACTTATAATTAATTGTGAAATGTCGTGTAATTGACCGTCCAACGGTCGAGGTAATTAATTGAATTCGTTGAGATGATGATTCAAATTTCTGGCTACTACGAAGTGGTAGACGTATGAAAGTATGAAGTGTGTTTATATCCGGCAAACCGGCATCTTTTGGCTGTGGTGTTGTGTTTGTAACTGGTAGAAACATCTCAAGGGATGTTGTCGAATGAGTGTTGTGATGATATGTCTGTGTCAGTGCAAGTCTAACGCCTGCTTGGTTAGAATTGGAGTCGATGTACCAACCACTTAATGAGTTCTTTGTTGTGTTATTGATATCTCGTCATTCTGTCTTTCAAGTACTCTGAACTTTGAAACTCTGAGTACTCTGAAGCTGCTCACTGTGTAAATGTATTTGATCAAAATGCGGCGTGTCTTTTCGAGATTCCCTTTCACTTCTTTTTGACTCCTTACTGATGATGCACAGTACGACGGTAGCTCGTTTATGTCACTAAATGGAATGACCAATCGTCTGTATTTGTAGCCGTGTCTGATAGTATGAGTAGAGGGAGCGCGTAGTATCTTCTCCTCCGCGCTCCAGCGTACGACGCTTGATGACTTCTAAGAGATAGTATTACCTCAGTCTTTGTATAGTCAAGCTCACTATGGTCCCGGGCGAAGGTCCAAGTGTTGGCACCGACTCACGAGGTCTATGGCTTCTGCGTAAGATGAAGGAGTTGATATATATCACTGATGATGAATGGAAGGATATGTAAGGCGGCTACCTTGGTCAAGGAAAGCTGCTGCGATGATGTGTCCGCATAATAGCTAGGCTGATTACCAGCTGACTCTACGGCTTCCCTCGGCTGAGTCGTGTCATATTATATCGTCGATTCAGGTTGTCCGAGGCGGAAACGGGGAGTCGCATTATCCATTGGCTCGATGGGAAGGGTGGTAGAGGAGACCTGCTGGTGTTTTATAACGTCCTCAGTGAGGCCGGACACAAAGTGAGTGAAGATTGGTAGAGTCTCATCGCCAGCTGGTAACACTCCATACGGCTCCGATTTTTTCCCGATTTGTAGTCCCTCCATGTGTCGGTGGGCATGCATGAGGTTGAGAAGGCTATCTCCGTGATGGGCAAGCTGGTCGCCGGTATGTATTTTATAAGGACTGCCAGCGGCAAAATTGATACGGCAGGAAAGGAGGTAAGGCTGTTGGGAGAGTGGAATCGAAGGTGTGGTATTACTAGAGTTACTCTCGCGAGTCGTAGTGTGATACTTCGTAGCCTCACGTGCGAGTCGTCGTGATTCAAGTTTCGGTCGGGTGTATGCTAGTTCGTCCCTCCATCAGGTTAATGTGGCAATGCTGAGCAGTTGTATATTCGGCGTACTGGGAGACACGAGGATCCTTTATGATGTGCAGATAGTTATGGAGCAGCTGTTCTTGCCCGCGTTGGACTATAAGTAGTTGGAGTCATACTCGAACCGTCTGTCCATCCATCATAAAATCACATCAGGCCACCGGACGGTTCGAGCCCTGGTCGGAATCGCAAGTCGTTGACAGAATCTCACATAAGTTCGAGGGGTCTGTCGTTGCCGGAGGCAGGGACGGATATGATGAGCGTGATGAGTTCAGGTAGAGGGGCAGGCTTTTGCTGCCGTTGCTGATGTCGTCTTAGTGATGGAAGGGAGCTCCGAGGATGAGGATTCCGATGCGTCGGAGAAGTCGGCGGAGTCGAAGGAGGAGAAGCCCGATGGTCGTGAGAACGGTGGTGACGCGAGGCTGGTCCAGGTTGGATCGGAGACTAGGGACGAGTTGGTTCTCAACGCGAGTAAATTCCATCAAAAGTTGGGCCAGGTGGCTTCGCAAGTGAGTTGATTACGGTATAGGCGACTCTGACGAGACGACTCTTGTCTAACAGGTTTACGGTTCCTCGAGCATTCGCCCTCCTGAAGGGGTGGATTTGGATGAGCTGTTGAGGAAGCTTGAAGGGTCGGAGGAGTGTGGAGAGGATGTACTTCGATGTGTTGAAGCTGTGGGGCAATGGGTAAGATGACGGTCGATAAATGGTCTCTCCGAAGTATCACCGGAAGTGGGTGCTCGCCTGTTTACGCGTTGCCGAAAACTGAGAATACCGAGAACACAGTTAATCACTGTGTGTTACTAGCTGTGCAATAATCATCGCGTCGAATTGCGCGGATGACGTTACGTTGAACTTACTGTGTCGTGATTCTGCTCTGTCGATCTCCGAACAAAAGGGAATCGCCGTGGGACGAATCATCGATGCCACAGATGGTGTTAAGGAGAGACGTTACGTTTTCAGGCGGAGGAGGTTGAGCGGCTGCTGAAGACAGAGAAGGAACATGCGACGGCCATTGGGCCGCACCCGATGGCGGAGATCCTCTTTTGGAGGGACCGGAGTGAGAGGCTGTCGAGCTTGTTCGAGCAACTGCAACTTGGACGCTGCCAGAAGGTAGGAACGTTCTTGTGTGGTGGCGGCAGTGCGAGTCGAATACAGGTAATTGAGATTGTGGAGAAATACCTGGTCGCTGGATCCAGAACAGGGGAGATGGAGTCGGCTGGCAGAGCATTCAGATGGTTTAAAGAGGAGCAATCGGCATTGCACAAGTTGCATGTGGAAGCCAAGGACAATGTGCTGACTTAGTGATGCTTCCTGTTGCATGTTATTCGCCCGGCTGTTGGTAGGTGAGGTTCCTGATGACTTTGGAGCGGCATCTGAAGAAGTTGACTAATGGTGGTATGGCTGAGATTGCCGAGATGCTGCCGAACTTGATGAATGCTCTCAGGATGGTGTGGGTTGTCAGCAGGTAACTTTGGGGAAGGACTATCGTAGGAGGTCGCGGTTAACGAGAATTAGATCTCTCATGTATCACACTGGTTATTGTTTTCATACGTAGTAGTTAAGAGTAGACCGGTTGTTTGTTATTGACGATGTGATGCTTGTTTGTGGTCTTTGTAAGAAGTTGTTGGCTACGCACGCGTCGTGTTAGATCTGGTGGTGATATTAGGTATTATAATACGGATGAGAGGATGGAACCACTACTTCAGCGAATAGCGGAGCAGATAGCCACAAGGGTTAGTGACCAAATCAGCGTGAAGTACTTGTTGAGGAGGAGTCCAGTGAGGGCGGGAGTGCTGGTTGCACAATGCAAGGCGACCTTGGAAGGATGGGAGAAGCATTACATGGAGACGCGATCTAGAATTGAAGAGAGCGGCTCGGACCACAGGTAAGCGAGAGTTCCACTTCGATATCCTTGCTCCTCAACTGGCCGGCCGTACATGAGATGTTGGTGGGAATCAGGTGGGAGTTCGACAGAGCCAAGTTGTTCAAGCGCACAAAGTACATGGCGAAGACATGTGGTGATTTAATGGTGATTACTAAGATGTTAGAACAATTTTACAAGTTCCTCGGGCCGGAGCTCAAAGAGGTGAGATGGGTATTTCTATCAATTGTGTAGTATCGGCTGTGTGGTCTAGTGGTATGATTCTCGCTTAGGGTGCGAGAGGTCCCGAGTTCAATTCTCGGCACAGCCCTATTGTTCTATGTCTAACTTTATTGATTACTCTCTTCTCTTCGCGAATCAGGTCACAGGCGACGCAGTGGGCATCGACAAGCTTCTAGACGAAGTGACAACCGCAGCAGCTGCCTTCAAGGCCTACAGCGAATGTTTCGACGATCGGCACCGGAAGGCCTGGGAGAGAGAAATGAAACTGTTCAAAGAGAAAACCATTGAGATTGAGGATAAAGCTATCGTCTTTCTCGATACACGATTCAGACAGGTAAACCTTGCGCAAGAAGATTTCGTGGGAGTATCAAGTACCTGTTTTGGCACGTGTACTCCAAATCTTCCAACCTCTCATCGCCTAAGCTTTCAGGGATAGGTATTTTGTTCAATAGCCCGTCTAGCTCAGTCGGTAGAGCGCAAGGCTCTTAACCTTGTGGTCGTGGGTTCGAGCCCCACGGT